GCTCATGGCTGCATTCGTGCGCTTTGTCCTGGTAACTGCGGCAGCGAGCGGAGTGGCTGCGTGAAGAGTTTGGACTCGGCTTCCCCAGCCAGGGGCTCTAAGTGGGTATCTCGGTCGCCCAACAGTGCCTATCAAACACCCCCTTTGCTGGAGGAACTGATCACAGATTGCGGCGGGAAACTTCTGTTCACAAGGAGGAAAATGGACGGAAGAGCAACAGGCTGGAGTGGACCAAGCGTCAATTTCCGCGTCAGCGCTCGAAGCGTCAGCCTGGACTTGAGAAGCGCCAGTGTCAGCGTTCGAAGCATCGCGGCGACAGTCTGAGCCATCCCTGCACTTCTGTTAGGTCGGGCGTGTCCTCCCACAGGGGGATTTTGGACGAAAACAACAGATAGTCCAAAAATCACACATACATGATCAAAAATACTCGAAACATCGTCCCGTGCCTATTTTTTACTATTTTTGAGAATTCCCCCTGTAGAGGGACAGGCCCGACGTAACACTACTGAACGATGTCATGCCGCACCCACCCGTTGCCAGCCGACTCGAACGCGACACCTCCTCGAGCTGCGTCAGGGAGCGTCTGCCGCGCGAGGGCGCGGACCAGCAGGCCAAAAGCAGGTCAAGATCCCTGCAGTCATGACAGAAATCTTTGCGGGCTCCAAGAATCGACACCACCACGTCGATTCCTCCTCCCTCCTCCACCTTCATCTTCATCTCCTCTCTCCTGGGAGAGGGAGGGGATTAGGGAGGTGGTGGTGTATTCCTTTGGGCCCCGTACTTTGCCAGCAAGAGGCGTACCCACCAGGGTAAGGCACCTCCGAAAATAGCCTCTGGATGAGGATTCGGTGCCAACTCATGGGAGCCTCCCATACCATCTTGTCGGCTCTGGCGAATCGACGCTGGTCGAAGCTAGTCGACGCCAGTCGACGCTAAATCGACGCCAATCGACGCTGACCGGCGCTAAATCGGCGCTGTCTCGTCGACTCCCAGATGCTAATCGACGCGAATCGACGCTAAAGACGGACCTAAGAAGGTATATAAGGCTCCCATGACTTGCTATCGAATGAAGACCCTCCAGCTTGGCGCTCGACGACGGTGTAATCCAAGACGCGCAACGGCGCAGTGCCCAGCGAGGTTGGCCCGTGCTCTTCGCTCCGCTTCTCCAGCCGCAGCGGCGCCGGCACAGCTGCCGCCTGCACAGCGGAAGTGTCGACCGAGGCTCGGAGCGGTTGCAGTCCTGCGGTATCACCCCACCGTCGAAAAGAACTTCCGAAACCCGCTTCGGAATGGGGACTCTCCAGTTTGGCGCTCAACGCCGCGAGCTTCAACACGTCATCTGCGGCATTCCTTGGCGCAGCACCCAGCGAGGCTAACCACAACTCTTCTGTCCTCTTCTCGGGCCGCAACGGCACCGAAACATCTGCCACCTGCCCGGCTGAAGTGTCGGAAGGAGCTGGAAGCGGCTGCAATCCAATGGTGTCACCGTCTGTGTCGCGAGTTTGCCCGAGAACCAGCGCCAGGTATGCAGGTTGGAGAGGCCAGACAAGATACGCTGAAAATGCACCGTGGAGCTACGCGATACATTCAATAAGATTTGCGTCAACCACTCGCCGCAGGGGATGCCCATCAGATGCCTCGGAGAAAGAGGGCCACTGGATGTCTTCGGTGGCAACTCACGGGAACCTCCCATACCATCTCGCTGGCTTCTGCGAACGGACGCTAAACGACGCTAATCGACGCTAACATCGGCGCTGAGTCGACGCTCAAAAAGACAGAATGGGCACACTTCTTTCGCCGGCGGCGAGGCAGAGGCAGTCCGCTCCAGCGTGTGGCGATTCGGGGCGACCGAAAGGCGAATTGTCCAGCGTGCAAGAGGAAGGAAACAAGACGACAGCGGCTGCTCGGAGGAGGAAGAGGGGGAAGCGCTCAGACGTGGAAGAGTTCCGCGTAGAGCGGGCCGAAGCGGCCAGCCGAGGCAGCGCGGACCCTGGCAGCAGCCGGGGCCGAGGCCAGGCGTCGCCCACGAGCGCTGCCAGGGCGCCGCGACAACGGAAGGGACACACGAGGCTCCCATGACTTGCCACCAAAGATGCCCCTCAGGTCGGCCCGCCGCGGCCACCCGATCGACGCCGCAAGGCCCGCCAGGCGAGGCTCAGAGCAGCAGCAGCTCCTCCGTGGCGCCCCCGATGGCCAGCAGGAGCACCAGGAACCCCAGGAGCAGCAGCACCTTGCCCTTGGGGATGCCCAGGTCTGGCAGCTGCGGCCTATGCTCCGCCACCCCATCCACCCTATCTCACTCCCCAGGCCCCCCACGTACCCCCCGAGGTGTCGACCCATTCCCCAGGACGGGCTTCTCTCATTCCGGATCGCTGTGATGACGGCCACGAGGCCCTGCAGGGGCCCCCGGAAGCCGGCCGAACGTCAGAACAGCCTCCCGTGTTGACTGTATCACGACTCGTAGGCTTCTGGGTTCCTCCCTCCCTCCCTCCACCCTCCTCCTTGTTCTCCTCCTCCTCCTCCTCCTCCTCCTCCTCCTCCTCCTCCTCCTCCTCCTCCTTCCTCCTCCTCCTCCTCCTCCTCCTTCCTCCTCCTCTTCCTCCTCCTCCTCCTCCTCCCCCTCTTCCTCCTGCTCCTCCTCCTCCTCCCGCCCCTCCTTCTGCTGATTCGCTCTCCCTCTTCTCCTCCTCTCGCTGCGAATACGGGCGTTGGCGCACGCGGTGTGGAGGCTCAGCCGCCAGCGTGCGAGCCACAGCCTGGCGGCAGACGCCGTGCTTCGAGCCCTTGACTTATAACGGGACGTTGTTGTACAGGCCCCCCCAGGCCATGTTGCATATAGCTGGGGGCTTTGTTGATTCAAGGGCTCCTAACTTCGCGCTTCGCGCTGCGCGAAGTGCGAATGACTTCGCGCTCTCGCGCCGCCTCCCAGGGGAGAAGAACAGGATGAAGAGGAATCGGAGCCGAACCGCGAAGCGCGAAGCGCGAATAACTTCGCGCCCTCGAGGGCGCCCTTGTTGATCCGCCTCTTCGAATGCAGTGGCATGGAGGTCTTAAACCGTGGTTCTGCGGGAGGTGCGGGTGCTAAGGGCACCAGTTGTTAGACGGATTCGGCCGTCCCTGTTTGCGCCCCACCCCCGACAGGCTTGAATATCTCTCCAGAGTCGCTCGAGGGCTCTGGCCAAAGTTTCTGGGCAAAACGGAGCAGGCCACCCGACGCAACAGCTCGTCTTGAGAGTCAGCCCCCTGGTGCACTGCATGTCTGTCGTCAGCATTGCCTATTGGAATTGAACCTCTGACGTTGTAACATGCCCAGTTCATGGTCCAGCTCCTCCTCCCGCTCCTGCTCCTCCTCGCGGACATAGATGTCATCCCGATCGAGGTCATCTGCTCGATGCTGCTGTGGCCAAACTTCAGGCCCGATGAGCCTGCGGCGCTGCCTGTGCATACTGTAAATGAGGAGCCGTGCACCTCGCATGGCCGAGTAAAATTTGACCTGATGGCCCGTGCCTTGATAACGATTTCGCCGAGGCCCGCCGTTGTGGTTGGGCCATTGTTACCCTGTCGCTGGACCTCCTCCCTTGCAGAGCCCTTCTTGGCGACAGTCCTGGTCCCATTCAGTCTGTTCTACGGGCCGAGCGTTTCGCGGTCCTGGGGGGCTTTGGAGATGGCGGAGAGACCCGCGACGATGGTGACGAAACAGTTGGGCGCCTGGCCGAGAGGGGGCGCTCTGGGCACGCAGGTATTAATTCTAGGGTTAGGTCGGGCATGCCCCCCTACAGGCGGGTTCTGGACGAAAAATTAAGAATATTCCAAAATCGTCCCCAGACTATTTTTACTATCTTGAAATACTCCTCCTGCGGAGGGACATGATCGACTTAATTCTAGGGCGAATGCTCCCCACGCCTCTGCGTGGCGACGAGTTCACGAGCTGTGCCGTGAAGGTAACCGCCACCCGCAGGTTTTATCTGGACGAAGGCCCACCGCGGTGTCGATGAAGGTTGTGAGACGTCTCACAAGTGTCTGCTGGAGCGGGCCGGAGCAACGATGGAGCGCTTGGCGCTCGCTGCGGAGATTATGGCCAAGCTTGCTACGCCCGTCGTCCGTCGTCCGATCGAGGGAGTCGTTAGTCAGAAGCGGAGTCGCAGGCCAACATCCCACCACGCGTTATGCTCCCAGGGGGCAGGATAATGTGCACAGCATGCTGGAGGCAAGCCTCGACCTCGTCCTCCCTCACGTCTCTCTCCACCCGCCTGTGGGATCCCTGGCAGTACGGCCCTGGCCGCCTGATCCGAGAGATGTGCAGGACGATCGCCTGCGTGCGTTCAACATCCTCAGACGCGTTCACGGGAAAGCTGGCAGCCGGGCGGCGGGGAGCCCCGGGGGTGGGACGGTCTCGAGGATGGTGGGACTGGCGCGCAAAGGCCTACACCCAAAGGCGGGGAAGAGGCTTCCGCCGCTGGCATTCTTTGAGAGTGCGTCGGCCGCCAGCTGGTCCCGCACGAGCGCTGAAGTGTTGCTCGCGCGTATGTGTGCGTAGTTTCTCTGTGTGCCGCACGCGTGCTATCATGAAGGTGTGCTCTCTTTCTCTCTCTCTCTCTCTCTCTTTCTACCTTCACTGGTTCGCTCCCGACTCGTCTGCGCTTCCTCGGCACTGTTCGCACTGTTTTCCTCTTCCTTCTCCCCCTCCTCCTCCTCCTCCTCCTCCTCCTCCTCCTCCTCCTCCTCCTCCTCCTCCTCCTCCTCCTCCTCCTCCTCCTCCTCCTCCTCCCCCTCCTCCGCCTCCCCCTTTTCCTCCTCATCCTCCTCCTTGCGTTCCTCATCCTCCTCCTCCTGTTCCTCCTCTTTCTTCTCCGCCTACTCCTATTTTTTGATTATTATTTGTGTGTACTGATACTCTGCCACAAGAATGGCCGATAGCAGCCGGATCCGGCTGGATCCCAACTTGCCTGTCAGAAAAACAATACAGAAGCAACGTTTGTCATCTCAACATGGGCGACCTGTCGTCGATGCTGCAAAACACGCAGCAGGAATGGGACGCGGCACACGTCCCGCGCGAAGGGCCGAAACGGCGTTTTCGCCTCGGCGTCGCATTTGTTTTTCTACAGGATTGTGTTCCCGCTTGGGCGCGGCGCACATGTTTCGTACAGTCGAGGCGTTGACCTCAGGAACCCTGAATAAGGAACGAGGCCCCTTTTTTCCCGCAAGTCCAGCTCGATAGCCCATGGGAAACCTCCGGAAAGCCCGAGGCAGATTTTGAAACAACCAGGGAACACCGAGCCCCTCCCCAACGAAGAGGGTTCCTTCTTCCGCGCCCCGACGGTACGCAGGTGCGTCGACGCGCGAGCGAGCGAACACGTCGCTCTCGCCACGGCGCGCCGCGCAGGTCTCGACGGAGCGCGGCGCTCCCCCGCCCCGACGCTCGCCAATACTGAAGGGGCCCTGGGACACACAAATAACTACATAGAAAGAACAGGGTTCCCCACATGTTCCCATATGTTCTGGGTTTTCGCGTCCCCCCCAGTTCCCAGATTTTCCCATATTTCCCCGGGGGTCGGCGATTAATTGTGTCTGCGCGTTTCCTTCCTTCCTGAAATGTGCAAGGAGCCCGCGCGTGGTGGGCGACGCGTCGCCCACTCGCCCAGGGCTCCGCGCGAATCTCGCTCGGGAGCGGCGCTGTCGCGCGCGAGCGCGGCGCGCGGTTCTGACGGGGCCCTGGGACACACGAATAAATACACACATAGAACAAGATTCCCTATATTTTCCTATACCCTGCAACGCCCCTCACGGGGGTAGAAACCAACCGGGTGCAGCTTACTCCGTGGAGCGTCGTGTTGTCTCCTCCTCCACTCGTGCTCTTGCGCCAGACGCCCACCCCTGAGGCTCTCGGAAGTTTCCACAAGGCTCGCAGGTGGTCAGAAAAATGCTCCGAACATCGAAGACTAAGTTATTCGAGGCTTCGTCTTAGAATCCGTTCCCAGAGCCCCGACGCGGTGTCTGTTCATCGTGTCGGCGCCCTTGTTGTCGTGAAATTATCCTCGGGGGGCCTCTTTGCGACGTTCCCGAGAGAGGGGAGGAGGGAGGAGGGAGGAGGGAAGGAGGAGGGAGGAGGGAGGAGAACGGATGGAAAAGAGGCGGATCTCGCGCACGGCGCTATCGGAGCCATCGAGGCTACGGATGAGGTAGGAGGAGGAGGAGCCCCACACCCGTTAGCGCAGCAGAGAGTGCACTCCATGATGACGAAACGCACAACAACGGGCGCGGCCTCGAACTGCTTGGAGTGCGAAAGCCCTATCCTGCCCACCCCGCCTGCGGCACTGATTGAAGGCAGAAAATAAAATGTCAATCGCGACAGCACAGGCATGCATGAACTCACTCGCTTTAGGGGTGTGCTCAAGAGACGGCCAGAGATGGGGAAGGAAATGGAAAGGCGCAACATACCCCCACTCCGGTGGGAGCGAAGGGAGGAGCTCCCTCAGGAGAGGATCACAACAGGACAGGTGACATAGTGAGAGATATTGTCGGCCCCTAAATTGCAGCACCCGAAAACACAAGGCCCAGTGGCCTGTCTGAAACGCTTCGTAGTTGGCCAAGCATTGAACACGGCTTTTAGAAGGGATGTAAAAAATAAAACTGGGCAGCCTCCTCGCTAGAATATTAAGCCTCAGAACCGTCAGTTGAGCATCTTGGGGCGTAGCATGTGGTAGCCAATGGCGAAGACGAGCAAGGACAAGATGATTGATGAAGTGATGGGGCTGGCGTCGAACAATAAACTTCGTGATCATACTCTGCAGCTTTTTTCGGGGGCTCGTGGATCGGGGCATCTGGGATTCGGATGTACTGGCTATACTCGATAAGCATGTTCCAGAAGATAGAATTCAGGAAGTGCGGGTTCCACTTATACGTTCGGGTCCTGTTGTCGTCTTCCTGGGCAGCATTATACATGGAGCGCATAGCATGGAACTCTTCCGAGCGGATGGCACAGCGTAGCATGGACGCACGACGAAGGGTTTCCATAGAGCGACACTGCACAGGAAGACCTAGTTCTTTGAGATGGAACATGGCCTTGGGAGGAAAAGCATGCCGCGGCGCACGAGGAAGCTTTTGGCGTGCCTCTCGTTCTGCACGAACGAGTTCCTTAGACGGCAGGTAGAACTGCCCAACATGCGATGCGACAGGGACGACGTAGGTGTTGAAAGCCTGCACGGACTGGATGGAGCTCAGCCCCATGCACCGCACGTCCTCTGTTCTGCTCATAATTTGCACTGCA